TATCTTTCTGATCGTACACAGTTCGTCAAGATGAATGGGGCATTATCTGATCATCATACTCTGCAGCTTGGTGTTACTCAAGGATCTGTTCTCGCACCGTTATTATGTTTCCCGTCCCGTTATTACGTCTCCACTGGTGACATTAATCGGTACTCACGATCTGAATTTCCACTTATACACTGACGACATACAACACTACATCTCATTAAAAAGTTCTCCCTCTTTTGATAGGGATAACAGCATTTCTAGGTAAACTGCTTGTGTTCCCGACATTGACTCCAGTCCCCAGTTGTTCAAAAGTTGGATAACGATATCCACCGGATAAATCACTCTCCAACGGAAAAGTATTTGGGAAACCAGTTGCACTGTCCATTGGATAGTGATTTATCCGGTGGATAGTGTCATTCACCTTTTGAACAACTGAGGCCTGGATGTTGTGTGATGAAAAATCAACAAGTACAAGACAGAGATGCTGATTTTATCCTCTTCTCATCTACCTCGTCCTCCCTTCTCTTCCATTGCTGTATCTGATGTGATGATGATATCCTGATCGGCCCATACTCGAAGAATTGGTATTATTTTTGATCAGTCCCTGTCCATGGTTCTTCACGTAACGTATATCACGTGTCTATCATTTGCACAACATTGGCTTGATTCGCACGTTTCGTACATTTGAAGCAACTACATTGCCAAAAAAGCTTTTGTTAAGCGACGTACAAACGGACGCCACAACTCCCGAACAAAGTTGGGACCTGCAGTGCATTGTGGGAAGGATACAACCCTGAAGACTTTGTTAGCCGTGTGTAATGCGCATACGTGGCCCCAACAATGTTGGAAGAGCTGTGCAAACGCATCCAACATTGTTGCGCTACGCTTGGGCGATCACGGAACAAAAGAATTGTTGGGAGTTGCTGGGTCAAAATTTGACCAGTTTCAAACTTTGCGCAACATCTCTAAACAACACGCAACGACATGCAACAATATGCAACAGGATGTGCAAACGGACGCAACATGTCACATCCCACAACGTTGAGAATTGTTGGCCAAATTGGCGTCCGTTTGAATGGGGCTTTACGTGGAAATTTGAAGCGGCAGGGAAATATATTAGAGAGAAGTCGTTACGTCACGTTGCCGCGGTAGCAAAATTTCTAGATTACAACAAAGCGAAAACGTTCAAACATCAGCGATCTTATTCAATTTTATTTAATTTGTCAAATGTTGGCGAAATTTTCTGGGGTTGAATTCCAAAGGACCGTGCCTAAGTTTAGAAAAAAAAAAATTTTTTTTGTTGTGTTCACCTACTTATAAAGCGGGGGCGAGAAACCAAGACGTTTCATGAAGCAGTAGTGCAGCGACGGCTAAGAAATGTAAAAAGAAATTGATGCACGTCCAAAGTTGTTGTTTTGCTAATCTGAACCTATTGTTTTCCCCGTTCTCGTTGCCGTCGTCATGGTTGTCACTCAAGCTCCCTATTCTTGTGATCCAATAATTTGCTCTCATGGTAACCTGACGTCACACTTCTCTTCGCTATTTGCATAATGACTTTACGGCTCAGTGACTTAAAAGGCCTGATTACAAGGACGGAGGGTAACCTGGTGTTAGGGTTATCCTTGTACGACCCTAGCACTCGTAGATTTCTTTTTTTACGCCACGTGTCTACCAGGCACGTGGGGTTACTCCGGAGCCAGGGTAGACCCTACCTTAGTGCTAGAGTAAGCCTTACTCACTCAACGTCTTCATCCCGTCTGAGACATAAGGCCGCAAAAGGGATACTCTACCAGCCTTGAGAACGCACTTTGCACTATCCGGGATAACTTTGCTCCGTCATGCGTTCAGGTAGTAATCTTGAAAATCTGAACGGAGTTATCCAATTTTGAGCTGAATTTTAATCATCTGATAACAATATTAGATATTTTCTGAATCAAATGATGATATTTTCCGCTTTTTCGTGATTTTAACGTGTTTTTATGAGTAAGCACTTATTCCTTCAACGACTTAAACCAGTCAATGAATTTTTTAGCCAACCAATCAAATAGCAATTCAAGACGCAACGACCTAAAACGTGTCAAACTGGTTAAGCCACACAAAAACTGCACATGAGGTTATCTCTATGAGATTCCCCCGCAATTTATTCATGAAAAAAAGAAGGCTTTGACGTCAAAGGCGTTAATGTATTCTTCACCAAAGTAATGTGATTCCTCCACAAAAAACGGATAACTCTTTCCCCATTATACTACTATGGAGGACATAAGTTTCATGAATGACCATTGAGTTATTTAAAGTATGTAAAATCATCCCACATTTCTATTTTTTCCTCCTTCACCACCACTACCACCGCCTCCACTACATTTCTCTTGTTTTCCCTCCACCAGCATATTTGTCTTGTTTTCTTTCCATCAATACATTGTTTACAATACTGCCACCACCACATTTCCACTGGTTTCCCTCCTCCACTACCCTCACAACAAGGCAAAGAATGAAGAAAAGGACTTGCGGCCCATACCATGACGACACACACAAGCACGTACAGGCATGTTTGTTTGTTATGTAGACGAATGAACTGCAACTGTCAGGGGAATAGGACCTCTTCTACATAACCTGACTTTTTGGCGGAGGTAGCGGAAAACAATAGAAATGTGGCGGCAAAGAAAAAACAGTAGAAATGTGATGTTGGTCATGCTCAAAAAGGGGCCCTAAACATGCATCTTCTACTACTCATGTCCCACGTCTTGGTCTGAACAAACTTTCCGACCATTTGTAGCTCTCAAATGTTTAAATGTTCTTAATTCAGTGGATATCTTTAGGGCCTCACTGCCTTTGGCCCACTTATGCTCTCAAGTGTTTGATTGGAAATATTCTTCAATTTTATTGTCGCCATGTAAGTCTGTAACGACCAAATAATTGCAAATCATGATATCATGAAACGGGGCTTTAACCGTCCGTTCAGCGTGCACATCAGTTCGGTATCAGTATCAGCGGTATCTCTTACCCAGACCTCACTCTGTCTTATTGCGGCCGTGGGAGATTTGGGTACAAGACTAGTATCAGCTCCTTCCAAATCTAAGCTGGCAACAACATTTTTAACTACCAAAACCATGAACACGGGGTAAACACACGCTTTTACACTTTTAGCTCCTTTCATGCATTCCGAGTTGCATGAGAACAGGCACTGTCACTTATGCCCAGTAATGTACGCAATGGTGAAAATGCTGAAAAAGTGCGAGAGGGTCGGCGAAAATTTAAATGAGATTACAAGAGGTGCTCTTTGTAAAGTGGTAAAGTTTACAAAAATGGCGAATCTGGCGAAAATTGGCCTTGGGTTGGGCGAATATTTAAATTAGATGACAAATGGGACTCTTGGGAGAGTGCAGGCGATTTTGACACAAATGGCGAAACCTGCTAGCAATGGTGAATCTGGCAAAAAATGGCAAAGGGTTGGTAAAAATTTAAATGAGGCTTTAAGAAATGCCCTTTGTAAAGTGGTGATTTACCAGTGCAACACGAAAAAGAATCATTGATCAATAAAACTACTTAACGATTCTCTCAATGGAATTTTTAATGTTTTAAAATAACTGGGATGATTTAAAGTTTTTTAAAACGCGTTAGAAATACTGCTACCCTAGGTTCAGGCAACAGTGCCATAGCACAACAAAACAAAACACTCTTTGCGTAATATCAACTGTTACAGAAATAGTTTCATCTTCTTCCGAATCAGTTCATCTGGCTTCTATTTAGTTTAAGTTGCTGCCAGTAACACAGACCCCTTATAACACACTGAAAGTCAATTTCGCTGCGATGTGTTAGTTTACCGAAGAGCACTACGTTTTCGCGTAACAAAACGTAGGAAATTGCAAATTTATCCATTAAAAAGAGAATCTCGAAACTACAGTTGACACTTGATGAAGACTGCTTTGGTATAAACGGCCAAAAAATGGTCGGGATGGCGTCTCTATCGCCAAATGTCTCGGGACGATCGTCCCAATCCGAATGATAACCGGTATGTGGAAATGAGGTTTATTGGCTCACTTTGGAAAGAAACTAGTGGCCTGGGTGGAAAGTGCCCGCGCAAGCACTTATGGGATTGTTTGGTGGGCGTGAAAGCCAAGATCAGGAAACCCACAATACTGTCCTGCACATTTCCCAAACGTGGAAGCTGAATAAAGAGAGACTTGCTATTTCATCCTGATGTTTGTTTTGCAGTCCTCCAGATTTGAGAAACTAGAAATACAAATATATCGCAAAGATACAGTCGAACCTCGGCTAACGGCCACCTCTCTTCAACGGTCACTTTTTTCCGTCCCGGCGGACGAAGAATTCATACATTGACTCTTGTTTAAAACCTCTCTAGAATAGCCACCTCTTTACAACGGCCACTTTACAACGGGCACTTTCTTCCGTCCCTAAGGTGGCCGTTTTAGAGAGGTTCAACTGTATAACCCGCTCATTAAAACGACAACCCTTGAGAAAAATTCCCAGTTACAGCAGTCATTCTATCTCTTAATTTAAAAAATCCAGGGAGTTATACACGAGTCAAGCGAAAATATTGCGATACACTTCTAAGTCCTTGTCCCCCCAGACAATACCATAAATGCTTGCGTACTTTTTTCTAGACTCTCGACTAACACTCTTCCAAAATGAGCTCTTCCTTTACCACTTAAAATTTCTTTCCGCTCTGACCTCAAGCAGATAACAATTATCATAAATTTGCTACATACGCGCTGTTAGTCTGCATTTTCACCAAAAGACACACTACTCTCTTTCACAAACAAAATGAGTAACTGCAAGCGATCTGGACCATCTAATTATCAGCCTATACCAAGGCCTATGACACCAATGAGTATTTTTTCTAAACGCTTGTGTAACATAATCATAAAAATATATCAATATAATCTTTTAATATTAAAATAATATAATAAAAATAAATAATCTTTCTCTCTCTTAAAATTATTATATACTACTATAGGAATATTGATCTCATTTAAAAACTAAAATTAATAAATCTATTTGTCTTCATAATGAAGCTTGGATAAAAATTCCTCAACATTTAAATTTGAAGGGAAATGCATGTTTTCTCCTTTCGTCTTGGATCGCTGGAAGGGGAAAAAAATGGAAATTAGAACTTTTCGTTAAAAAAGACACAGTGTCAAGGAATAAGTGATGAGAAAGACTAAAAACTCCAGCTTCGGTTGCAGCGAAACGTAATGTCAACATATCGAGACTCGTGAAAGGTTTGAACCCAGGAGTCATTTCAAAAGTAAGTTGAGCATGATCGTCCGGGTGAATGCAGTCCCGAATGGGACTGTTGTTGTTGACACTGACTGCTGTTTCGACAACCTAGTCATCTCTACAGTAAACGTCAAGTGTATCACTTCAGTTGATGGTATCAAACTCTGGTTACTGACTTGATTTGTCAATTAAGTCGCGATGTTATTGCTCGTCTATCAGTTAAGCCGTGAGGTCTAAATGCATGCGGACTTCACTCAGCCGGACGATCATATGCCATCTACTTAAATCAATGATATTCCAACCTTATGCGCTTGGTGAAGTTATGGAAACTCTGGCTAAATAAAGCTACGCCAGCTACACATCACATACAGCATTCAAAAGCTAGTATATTGTAATAACTTGCCAGAAAATGTAAATTAGTCTCTTTTAATAACCACGAAGAACAAACCTTGGAAGGGCGCGATAATGATTTATTCCTTTTTTTCTAAAAGCAGAAAACAAAATGGACGATTAGCGTAAATTATAATAGGAACAATGCAAAGTCGGCGAAACATGTGTCAGAGTACTTTGTGCCAGGCTCTCGGTCAGGGTTGACGAGCGAAAACAAAGGGCGAGCGAAAAATGGCGGATAAGAGACGAAGGAGAGCCTGTAACATCCGCCAAAAACCCCACCCACTTTCAGAAAAACCGTTTCTCGCGTCGTAATGTCAAATGTCGACATGTTCAAATGTGCGGTTTTGGGGGGGGGGGGGGGGGCAACCCCCCCGCCCCCGTTGTCCCTCTTGGGGGGGGTGGGGCCATGGACAGGCCGAACTTGTTGGCGTTTTGTAAAATTGTACCATAAACAGAGAAAACAAAGAAAGGGTCAACCGAAGTGGGGTAGTGAAAAAGAGACAGGACGAGAACAGGACGAAAAAACAAAAGGGAAGAAGAAGAGAAAGCACGCCCCCAACCCACCCACACACCCCCCCCCACTTCAAAAAAACCTCGTTCTGGGGTTATAAGATGAAATGGATGAATTTGTGGAGGGGGGGGGGGGGGGGGGGGGGGGGGGTTCACACGCTCGCCACGTTGTCTCACTTTGCGTGAGCGAAGCCAAGTGATCGACGTAAGTGTTGACGTGTTGTCAAAATTGACCAATCATAGGGTATACCAAGAGATGGCATACCGGAATGAGGTATTGAAAACAATGCTCACAGGCTCAACTTCCTCGTCTTTCCCCAGCCCCCACGCGTTTTTTGCCTAACGTTTCTCGATCCGCTTTCCTAATCCTTACTTTATTGGAGCCTGGAAAAGTTTAAGAGCCCTTATGAGAGTTAACCAGGTTTCCATGCACAGTTAAGTATTGCTATTTTCTTAATTCCTGTCTGTGGTCTTTGAAACTATCGTGTGGCAAATATATAAATAAAAAATATATCAAAAAATGAACTTCTACAAACGAGTATTGACCGTGGATGGAAGGGATGAAAATGAATGCAAGTTGAAAAGTTAAAAGTTCATTCGCTTTCAGGGAAACCTGACAGCAACAAAAATTCAACGTCGTGTCTCCTTTTCTCTTTAAGATATGGATATATTTTCTCTTTGAATGTTCAATGACAATGTCGCCCTAACATAAAATTACCCAAAAAGTATTTAAGCATTCTCTAATAAAACGTATTAATGGCATTCTCTCGACATACCTTCTTTAAAGGAAAACTTAAACCGGAAAAAAAAGGTGTCCTGGCAACATATATTACCTTGTGCTGCTGAAATTCTTCTCTCGATCGTTTTGTTCGTGACGTAGATGATTCTTGTGTTTCCTTTTCACTACTCAGTTTTGAACGCAATGAATCACTAAAATTTTCTTTCACCAAATCACTGGATTCTTGATTCATTATTGTTAAAGGGGAAGTAGATGGTCCATTGTTGGTTTGCAAAGAGCATTGTATACTCCGTCCGACTGGCGGAACGCTCATTATTTCCTGTTCTCTATGGTTAGTGCAAGGCGAGGAATGAGCTGCGGAAAAACCATCCGCGTGTTTTTCACCTGAAATTTCCGTATTACTTTTAGAAGCAGTTACATTTTCGTGAGCCGGTGATTTTTCTTGCAAAGGTTGAAGCCGCACTTCTGTATCAACCGAAAGAGTCCCAGTTTTCTGTAAACTGTGATTATTTTGCTGTCCGGAGTCTGAAACAAATGCTTGATTATGATGATGTGTAGAATTTCCCTGGATGTTTTTATACTGAAACGCTAGAGTTTGTAACATATTGGATGCTTTCAGGGAGAATGGCTCCCCTGATGCCGACAAGTCATCAATGTTGCTATCTGTGTTCGATATACCGGAGGGCGTTGAATTACTTTTGTCATTCTCACTGTGGTTTTTTTGTAAAGCTGATAAATCTCCAATGCCAGCAGTGTCTCTGATTACTGGTGATTCCGTGAGAGATCCAGGTATAAAAGCTTGAGGTGTCGCTGCGATGCTTATAGCTGCAGGTGGTGTTAAATCTTGCATAGTTTGGTGAGCAGACAATGCATTGGGAACCAGTGGAATAAAACCTGCCCCCATAGGTAAATGGGTAATGCTTTTGTGGGTGACATTGGCAGCTAAGGGCATGAGGGGTGAGTGCAATGTGGGAAGGGTGGGTAGAAGGTTTGCACTACCAGGAGCCAATTGAGAGGAGACCTGAACAGAATCAGAAGACATAAAATTTACAGGAGTAGCAGTGCGGCGAGCTAAATTGCCAGTAGATGGTACAGCAGTGGTTCCCAAGACAACAGGGGCAGACGATTGACGTATGCCTGTACTAGGGATACATCCAGATGAATCAGTACCAGAACCAGTTGCCATAGTAACATCTGAAGATATTTGGTCAGGACAAGGACTTGCGATATTGACAGGTGACGGGGACGGGGTGACGCTGATTGGTATGAACACAGGCGCAGTTGCCAAAATGGCCGAACAGTTCTGTGAGAGGATAGCGTTAGAACTCTGCCCTATCGCATTTACAGGAATAGAATTAGAAATAACTGTTCTGTTGAATGTACTTTCATAGCTCATACTTGGCTGAACAACACCAGATGTACCTTGTAGAGTACTAAACCCAGATCCGGTATCTAAAGAAGATGACTCCGAGGCCAGTTGAGATGAAGCCTTGGCTACTGCTCGTTTTTGGCCTTTCCCTGTTTCTTTCTTCTCTGTTCTTGGTGCTTTGGTTTGCTTTTTCGTTGCTGGCTTTTGCTTTGTTCCTTTCTTATTCTTAGAACCTTTCTTACGACCTCTGGTAACAATCTCCAGTTCTTTTTCTTGCGTAAAGTTGAGAGCACGAACATAAGGAAGAGTCGACGTGATCAGGGCAGGTTGACTGGAATGTCCGCTGTGCTCATTTTCATTTACAGCATTTCGAGTTTTTTTAGTTGCATCTGATACCTTTGGTGGTGTTACTGGGGTATGTTTCTTGGCAGTGGGATCGCTTGCACTGCAACACGACTGTGATGAAGAGTTCGATAGAGCCTTCTGAGGACTCCCAGCCAGCAAAAGCAATGCATCAGTCACAATACTGGCAGCTACGAGAAAAAAAATAGCGTAGCGTGAGATATCAATATTTATTATAGGGAGACCCTTTCTTGGAAGGACATGTGTCCAGTCCAAATCGTCATTTTGATCAGACAAAATGTGGTCGGTCTCAATCAAGGAAATAGCCTTGCGAGGAAATTCATCATTCATTCATTCAATCCCTTCGTCTATGGAAACCAAGTGGCCTTAATCATTCAAGGAAAATGCCTCTTCATCCAGAGGCAGCTTAGGCAGCCCAGGGAGTTACATTTGAATTTTATAAGAGAATATATGGGAATAAACAAAACACCTGCTTAATTCTCTCTCCTGAAAAGATTCGAGCCAAGAATCACTTTCCCTCTGTTTGTGTTGTGTCCTGTATGGTCTTTTCGCTTCTGTAGCCATTTCAAAGCTGTTTTAGAGCGACTCGATATCTTTTCCATATTTCTTATTCTAAGAACAATTCGAAATTTTTAAACTCGCCATATAGGCTTTTAAAAAGCTACAGAAGCGAAAAGACAGTAGCAGACACATCACAAACACAACTTAAGTCATTTTTATTTCGAGTCTTTTTAGAAGCCGAATTTAGGACATCTTTCGTTCATCGCCATACCTTCTCTTATTCAAATCAGTCTAGGCTGCCCTGTGGTCGATCACGAGTAAGTGATATGTTTAGTATAAAAAACTGTGCCTACAACCTGCGTGGTAATAGTAGCAGATTCAATCAGCCGGTCTCAAATACAACTGCTTTCAAGCCTAAATCTTTTTCTTATATTGCATGCCAATTCTGTAGCAATCTTCCTCATCATGTCAGGAAGGCCTCTGATCTTAAGAATTTCTTTGCCAAGCTCAAAGAGATTAACTTGGATTCAGTCGAATGTCGCTGCAATCTCTGCTCTAGCTAGTTTTTCTCGTTGTTAAATAGCATAGATAGTTAATTTTATTCATTTTTAGATTCGTGTTATTGTCATACACTGTAGATGCACGTACATTTGTGTTGCAACGAGCCTTCTTTTTAGGCCCACTAATGTCTCGTGTTGAAATTATGATTGATTGATTGATTGATTTATTGATTGATTAGACTTCACAGACCTGACATATGCAATTCAGAGGCAGATGAAGAACTTGGGGGTTGAAGAGGCTGCCTTGATGAAGACTGTAAGGTAGCAATTTCACAACCTAAATCAACTGTAGATTCCGCATTTAAATGTTGCCTTGATGCTGATGACAGGGAAGTAACTTCATGACCTAAATCAGCTGTACGCTCCTTTGATCCCGATCGCAACGCATCGATCGCCATCCCTCCATCAACTGAGGATTCAGTTGGTAGTTGCCGTCTTGCTGGTGATGGCAGAGTATCAAGTTCATTTCCTAAATCAGGTCGTGAAGACGCTGAAACAGCAAGGTTATCTGCAAAAGAGGAACTTCACTGTCATTATAGTTCGTAGCCAACTCCACCTACCTGTATAAGTTTACCGTAAGCTTCCGCTAAAAGGCCTTGCGCTTATACAACCAATAAAAGATTTTAGCAGGGCTTATAAACGGGGGCTTATTACAAGACTAAAAAAATGTTTCAAAACAAGCTACATAGCTGAGCTAATCAAATACTTTTTGCCGGAATTAACCCGTTTTTTAAAGCTTCAAAACTCGGTAAAAAATCAAATTCATTTCAATACAAGCTAGAGGGGGGCTCATTACTTTTTTAGTAGGGAGGGGTTGGGGTTTATAAGCGGAGGTTTACGGTATATTGATATGTGATAGTGGTTGAAGTTTTCCGCTTCGGCAGGGCTCTTTTCAACTAACTGCTAGCCAGTGTCAAATGAATGAATAACAAATAGAGCGATTTTCGTATGAACATGAAAAATGGTTGCGGTAAGTGTTCGTTACTTGTTTTATCAGCTAATAGATCAAAAGATCAAAACATGGACTCTCCGTTCTTCCGCCAAAGAAAACCCTAATATGGAGAAGGCATTGTTCGATTGGCCAATCGTGTTGCAGTATGACGTCAAAGCGGAGTATTGATTGATTTCTAGAAGGTTCTCGGGCATGAA